ATCATTTTTCATATATAAATTTTTTCTTTTTTTCTTTTTTTTTTTTTTTTTTTTTTGTCTTTTTCGTGTCCGGCAACGGATCGCAACCCTCAGTGTCGCGCCTGTACCGGACCGGGACCGGCAACGGGATCGCAACCCTCGGTGTCGAACCCGCACCTCGCTCAGCCAGTGAGCGGGAACTGGTCTGTATGTGGGATCCGAACCCTCGGCGGGAGTGCCGCCGCGCTCCCAAGTGGCGCACTGTAGCAGTGCGCCACCGGGCCGGCCCATTTATTACTTCTTTTTGATGCATTTTAAAATGTGATAATATTAGATTCATATAAATGTAATTCTATATGGTTTAAAAAAAAATGATCATTAAGCAGCATGTAAACAGTTTAGAAGGGGCTATGACCAGATATGACAGAGGTTACATTTCTTGCTATAATGCAAAATACTACCCTGTTGATCATCTACCAGGGTTTTCCTTACTGTTTCCTCCTCTTGAGCGCTTTCCCTGAAGGAGTGGTTGAGAGAGCAGACATAAGGCTGAGAGCAGAACAGGGCCCCGCCAGCTGCCTAACAAGATACTGGCAGGCAGCCAGCCATTTAGATGAGCATCTTTCCAAATCCTTGAGAGAATAGTTACTAGTTGCTTGAGGTCAGGATTGTTTAGGCTACACCCTAATAACAGTCATTTTGGTCACTTGTAATGGACTCGTGAACAAGCAGGCTTAGAGCTTGCTTGATGGGGTCTGAAGGTAGAGCTGACCTCCAGTGAGAGTCCCAGAGATGGGCCAATGGGAAGGAACCTTGGTGGATTCTCTTTGGTTTCTCCTCATAGGTGGGATGCATCCTGATTTCTTGCAATACCTAGTATTGCCATTCTCCACACTCACAGAGTGGCACACTGGCCATTTCCATTAAGAGTATGTCATATTTTCCTAATTTGTTCCCAAACTACAGATGCTAGACACTGGAGAATGGGGAAAGAAGGGATGTCCATAAGTGGGCTGAAAAATAGTAACAGTATGCATGACAAAAGCTTTTGAATGCAGCTTGGAACTACTGAAGCAGTACATTCTGATGCAGCAGAGACCTTCTAGTACCAAATTATAAGACCTTCACAAATGTAGAGTAGTGCCTGAAGACTTTCTAATATGATATATGTATGACTCGTAAACTGAACTTCAAACTAGGACACTTCTTAGAATATAAGCACAGCCAGAAGAAAAGATCACGTATTTCAGGGAGGTGGTTAAAAAAACAAAGAAAGCATTATCAAAACAATCACATTATTGATTATGGACAGATTGGCACAGTAGTACAGCGCTGATTATTTGATCTCAAAGCTCAACATTTCATTTTGGTTCAACATAGATAGACATTTTAAAAAAAGCAGTGTAGCCGTGAGGAGTTGAAATCTATAGTCAGGGGGCCGGCCCGGTGGCACACTGGATAGTGCGCCGCTTGGGAAGTGCGGCGGCGCTCCCGCCCGAGGGTTCGGATCCTACAT